CCCCATTTGCAAACAAAATCAGCGGCACAGCCCCCCCCCCCTAGAGCAAACACGCCTCCCCTTACTGCCAACATGGTGAAACGATTGTCATTTCTTGCAATCATGCATGGCCTTATAAAAAAGCGCGGGGGGTTGGGCGGGCGCAGCCCCCTGCTAGTGCAAACACAGCCTCCCCTTACTGCCAACATGGTGAAACGATACTTGTCAAAGGGGCGCAGCCCCCCCATTTGCGAACAAAATCAGCGGCACAGCCCCCGCCCCTAGTGCAAACACAGCCTCCCCTTACTGCCACCATGGTGACACGATACTTGTCATTTCTTGCAATCATGGATGGCCATAATAAAGGGGGGGGGGGGTTGGAGGGGGCGCAGCCGCCCCTTTGCGAACACTTACTGCCAGCATGGTGAAACGATATGAAACGATACTTGTCATTTCTTACCCTGGCGCGTGTGGTCCTAGTAGCTCCCTGCTCCTAGGGTAGGTTTGCGGCTGTCTAAACATCTCTCTGGACTGTACAGGGATCAAGGGTCATTGCCTGAAGATTTCACAAGATTTCTATGGCTGTATGGAGAGAATAGATCGAGCATCTAGGGCAATCAAGGAAGCATTCAGAGCTATCCATGCTAAACCCAGATATAAGCCTGTTTCCATTTGATGTTCCAGCTTTTTACACTTGATCAGCAAGGCCCCTAAGATGCCTGAGCTGCGAACAAAGTAGTGCCCGTGTCCACGATCGCCATGGCTTTTGATTGACACAACGCTGGCTTCGAGGACCACATTTTGGAGTTTCTGGCAACAATGAAAGGACTCCCCATAATGCCCGTTATGGCCCTCCATGTATCTTTAGGGTCCCTAAAGGCATCCTGCTTGGAAATACTAATCGGTCTTTCCTTCCTTCTCTCCCTCCCTACTTCCTTGCTTGCTTCCTTCCTTCTTTCCTTCTTCCTTCGTTCCCACCCTCTTGCTTTCTGTGTCTACATTTCAAGCGCAAAGTTTCGGTGATGCAAAAAAGTGTCTTTTCTGAAACTCATCCCACATAGCTTGTTAAGCTTTGGCCCATAGAAATTTTGGTGGAGTCAGCTCCGCCGGAATTGACTGCCTGCTGCTGCTGCTGCTGCTGCAGAGTTAGGCAAAGGAAGAGGAAAACGAATGGATACCCGAAAGCGGTCCTGCTTCCGGGCTGTGCAAAATTCAAATCAGAGAGGCCAACTGGCCCATGTCACAGGTGCTCTACACCAAGCTGCTGCTGCTATGTTTCTTTGTGGTTTCAACTCAAAATTCCCAGAGGCAGCCAGGTCTCGGCTGGGCGAAAGGCACCTTCCAGGCTGAGAAAATGATGACAGACATGGCCCCAAAGGCACCAATCATAAGCATCTCGTGCATCATCGGCAGGGTCACCTGGGCAGCATCTTCAACAGACGCTTCAGCATGAGTTGAGTATTATTAGCTGTTAGGTGCCTGAGCAGTGAGTTGGGAGCCGGGGCAATAGCAGAAACAAGGCGAATGACTTTGCCACTACAGATGTAGCATGGCGGAATGAGAGTTTGCAGGGGTTGCAGGTCATTGCATTGCACAGCTGCCCTGCATTCTTCTATGCCCACTTGCAAGCAGAACCCTGCGGCACATTGGTAGAGAGTGAGCCTTCGTGCCCTATCTCAAGTTAAGGGAGTGCCCTGCAGGGCAATAGATTTGAATGTTCGATGTTGACACTCCACGTGTCAGACCGTTGGGGCCCCCACTTACCGATAAAAGAAGGACTTGCACCGCCAGACAAAATTATGTCAAGATACGTATGCTTGCAACAGGCCAAGGGCAGCGATCGCAAGGAAGGAGCCAAGGAAGCCTGATTCAAGCTCCCAGGTTTGGAGTACCTCTTAGCCGCGGACCTAAAACATTTAGGTGCAGCCTGCTTCTTCACTGATACATGTCCTGCACTGATGAAAGCTTAGCAAACGACACGGTGGACTACTGAGAACCATGGAAGCATGTTGAGGCTTACGAGTTGGGGGAGCTTCTTGCGACTGAATACGCAGTCCCTATGTACAGGCACGCATTGATAAAATCAGGCCAGCGAATACTGTGACATTCAGCAGACTCCCAGCCCAAGCAACTGCACCAGGTCTGGTTCAAGGGAGGAGAGGCTGCGGGGAGAGGTGCGGCACCAGCGCCCTGGAACTTCCTCTCAGGGGTGAAGGCAGCTGGCAAGCTTCAACCAGCGGCTATCAACGAGACCCCGGGTGAACCAGCTCGTTGGCCATGTTTCATGAATGTACCCCTGTCGGGGCGTGCCAAAGTCACAGCGGAGTTTGCGCTGGGACAGCGATGCGTGGGGGTGAGTGTCGATACACGTAACCCCTGGTTGGAGACATTCCAAGATTACACAGTCCGTATGGTAGTTTTGCATTGCGAACCACAACTGCCAGCATGCTTGTGCACAGGCAGGCATGTGCTGAATTCTGACCTTTGCGAGGTTTATAAGTCGAATCCATCCTGAAGTACTTGCCGATCCAGGTCTCTGACTCATCGCTGTCTGCCTCTTCCTCACAGGAAGCGCGCTGAACTCTTACATGTTTGAAGTCATGATGAGTTTAACCACACATGTAGAATTTCATCCTGCCTGATTTCGGGGCAGCAATCCCCGCCGCTAAGGGTTTAAGTGGAAAGAAGGCTGCGCGAGCGTGAGTGTCAGAGCGATTCATCCTGATTGGATGGGACCCACGCCCCCTTTCGTAGTTCAGTTGCCTTGTAGGCACAGCGTATCGAGTCCAGTCCCGATTGGCCGGCAAATCCCGTGATTGTGCTTGCAAGGACAGTAATATGGACAGACATGACCCTGACTGTCGCTGAAGGTAGTTTGCTGTTAAGTCGACGGCACCATCAATTTCAAAGTTTGCCGGTCCGTGCTAACGATACCAGCAAGCATCATTTTAATGCTTGCTTCCCCAAACGATACACGTTGTAGAACATCAAGGTATTACGTGACACCCGCACCACATGTCATGCATACCAACAGCCCGCAGTTGGTTCTGATATCCGTCCCAGCAATTTGATTTTTGTTTGTGGGCGCTCTGACCAAGCAGGTAATACTTCCAGCGGCAGTGCTGGTCCCACTCTGATTGTTGATTTGTGCCGGCGTACAGAGGCAACATGCAGTCACAGGGGGTGTTTTTTCAAATGGGACGCGAGCGTACCCAAACCTGGCTAGCTTCCGCCTCCGAGTTCTCAGACGGCCACCAGTACTGCGGATAGACTCGGTCTTCCGCCAGGTTGTTGGTCACACAGGCCACGGCCACCATGATCCTGGGATCACTTGACTGGGGCGCATATGGGTGTGTCGAAGCCCGATGTTCAGATCCAATGGAAAGCCAGGCAGTGCTAATGCAAGACAACATGCCCTTAATCTAGAAGATTCATTTGTTCAGGGTGTTGGATGCAGCTTATCGATCATGCTATTGGAATTGAGGTGCTTTCCATGCGAGGCCATATGCCGATAGCCAAAAAGAGCGCGAGCCTTCATACCTATATCAAATATTCCCGTACTAGAACCCCAATATATACCATTTCATCATTTTGTAATAGTGTCCATGTTCTTTTCCATTATCCCTATAAGCTATATTCCCATATTTTTGTTGGAGCACCACTGAGCACCAGCATTCTAAAGATTCTTTCAAGCCTAGGCCTGCAAGACATGGGTTCTTTTTCGTCAGATGAGCAGCTACCTAAATCATTAGTAAACAGCTAAGTAAAAAATCCCTTTCGGGGGGCCTATCGCTTTACAGGGTTTTTGCACACTGCTGTCATCCATTTCGGGGGTATCGCTTTTGGGGGGGGCCCCATCGCTTTACTAGGGTTTTGCTCATGTCCCTGAGTTTTATCTCTGCCTGCTCTTGGCTCCTACACGATAATAAACGCAGTTGCTCAGGTAAATGTGAGCCATAGTTTGAACTCCTTAACGGGGGTTAATTATATAGGGGATTGGAATGGGTTCTTCAGTTGGGTACCTGTACAGCAGTTGCAAAAGGAATTTGCTTGGAAACATGCCCACACGCGATTCAAAGGTGAAATTTGGCAGCGAAAGCAGCCAATAAACTGCCAATGCGATGAGCTGGAATAAAAGATCAAGATCGAAAGATCGGACTATCGAACTGCAATGAAAACCATTCCAGATGGCCTCTGGCTGAAGAAATCAGCCCAGGTCACTTCAACTGCAGCACAGGCACACAGCGCCCAGAAAAGATGGGCAGAAGACAAACAAGTAGCCCATGTGCTGGACCTGTGCCACAAGGGTCAGTTCCAACAAGCAAAGTTCCTTGTTCTGCAATTTGGGGTTCAAGTCCTCTCACGAACGAGTGGCTGGAGGCGTGATAATGTAGATCAGAGCCGTTGCGCCGCCAGGAGGGTGAACTGTCTTCGTCAATTCCTGACAGAATTCCAAAGCCTTGATTGTCCAAATTTCTTGCAGGACTCTTTGCACATCGGTTGACCGCAAGCCTGGGCAGTACCCTAACACCCGACCCTGGCTGAAGGCTGCAGGCCTGAACCACGATGGTCAGGGATACAGAGAGGGCAGCACCCAGCCACACCATCTTCTCAAGTCCAAGCCTCGGTGAGATTGAAGAGCACAACATCTTGTTCTCGACATCTGTGCGAAACCATGGTCAAGTGCTCAAGGGTGGCTAGCTGAGATGAACGGCTAGCGACAAAACCAAGGCTTTCACTTCCGTGTATACCTCGTAATTAAAAGTGCTGACAATCCCCGCAAAGCGTGGCCAATCATGCGTGAGGCTTTAGTCTTACACGCAGAAGGCGTCATCTCATGCCAACTTCAGACTGAAAACTCTCTCATGAGGTTGAACACGACCACACCGACCAGGCCGCCAATGGTGTTGCCAATGATCACGTTTCTTGGTGCACAAGGGGGGTTAGCAGGACAGGGTGCCAGAACATGCCAAAACATCTTCTTCTGCCTGGACTCTTGGGCTGCGCCACGGGTGTCTTGTAGCCACTAAAGACGATCACCTCATGTTGTGTCATCTTGTCGTGCAATTAGAATTCACCAGCAAGTTGCCACGGGCTTGGAGAATTCTTCCAAAACAGTCGAACGGCAACCGCCGCAGTAAAAACCCCGCGGACCCCATTCATACTATATACAAAATGGTCAAGACCATCATTGGATCGTACAGAACAAAACGGATCTCGATCTAGGGGAGAGACAACGATCTCGAAAAACCACAAGGTCCGCGCGCATTTGCGACGAGCGGCCGACATTGCCCCGAAGGAGCCCACTAGAAGAACCATGCTGGCATCCGGCATCATGACCTACAGTGGCTGTCACCATCTCTTCAGGGGAGAGCTTACGTTCGTACTCCTAACGCTGTTCTGACCGGCAGCACCCCGAAGCCAGATTGGCTTCGTTTGTATTTGTACCACAAACCTAGCTCAGAGTTGACAAATTCCCAGCAATCCCTCTCGGCCAAGCCGAGACCCAACCGAGGCACATAAGTATGGAGCAGGCCAATAGCACCCATCCTAAGCTGCACATGCAGGCCGCAGAAACACCAAGCAAGCAGGGGACAGGCTCTGAGGCCTGTTAAATTGAGGCCAGGAACTCAAACTTGGGTGGCCAAGCATCTCGTTTGAGGCCTGGTGGCTTAGACCAGCTGGCACTGGCTTTCCAGAATTGATGCATGACATTGAAAAAAGACAGATCTTTTGTATGGATGTATTCCAGAATCGCCGAAGCGTTTACCCACGATTTGGCGGCCTAAAGTCGGCTGTGGGTTAAAAGTCCCACGGGATCCTGGGCATGGCTAGGGGCACCAGCTAACCCTTGTGTCCAAAACCATTTTTTATGGCAACATGCCCAGGAATGATTGACACATAGAAGCTCTCATCAGAGCGGGGAAGAGGACAGGCACAGGCATAAGCGCAGGACCGCAAAGAGTAGATCCAAGTTTGGTTGGGTCTTGAATGAAGCTACCGCCCCCCTCCCACCCTTCCACAACTACATGAGGTATTGTCTACGGAATCACTTCAAGAATGCAGTCCCTACTCCCCACATATCCCTGAAGTCCAACTCAGCCAGGAGGTCCCAAGGAATGCGCCGAGGAAGCTGTAGGCACTGTAGGTCACAGAGAGCTGTGGAGGCGGCTTCCTTGGCTTTGATACAGAGCCTGCCAGGGTTCCTAGATCTTTCCTCTTCAAGGTTCTTGAAAAATCTTGAATCCTGAGTTGGTGCCAAAATAGTTGGACATGACTTGGACGCAAAAGGGCATCCAATCTGGTAGGCACAGCAGGAATCCTAAGCCCTCAGCCCAGAAGCCTCAAACCCTGGCCAGTGCCATCGCGGAATGAATGCATAAGCCTGTAGAAGCAAATTGTCTGACCAAAGAATGTCTGCCTCAAGCCAGCATATGCCTCGCGAATGGAGAAATGCCAAACCAGAGTTTTCAGGATTGACGCTCCCAGCAGAGGGCCTGAGGAAAATCTCTATCGCAAATCATTGGTAGAAATCCCTTCTCTCTATCAAACCTTGTGGAACTAGATGGGCCACTCACACCCCCAACAACACGTCACAACTTTGGCCTATACCCTGCAACTGAGAAGTAATGCTTTGGACCTATGCTGCTGCCTTAGAACAAGGGTAACTTGAGCGAACACATTTCTTTCCAGATTTCCATGCTACAACTCCTGCCCTAGCTTCTCTCCAGCCCCTGCCATCTTCTGGAAGTAGGTCGGCGCCGGAGGGGCTGGAGGCTCCTCCTTGATTCTGCGTCATCAACTGTGGGCTTAGATCTCGAGGGCAGTTCTTGTGTTTGCAATGGCCGCACTTACAAAGGGAAAGTCAAGCAGCGGGGAGTCAGGACTGTTAGGCAAGGCGTTCCAATTTTGTGCGGCTTGCTGCTGGCAGCCAAGTGACTCCGGGGCTTCTTCAGACTGGCTACCTTGTACCTGTCTGCTCCTAGGCTGGAAACCAATAGCCCGGACAATCCTACAAATGTCCCAATGTCTGATCCCCCTCATAATTCGAAGGGATTGTTTTTCCTTTCACACGGATCTCAGGCAAGGCCTCTTGATCGGGGAGTTTCTCAACACGTTCCCTATGAACGACCCATAATCCTCCTGTACTCCCTTTTCCCCCACGGCCCCACGGCCTTCATGTTGAGAAACCCGCAACCCACATCCCCAAACCCTTTTAATCCCTTTGGCCCGGTTTGAGAATCCCCAATCCGAGCTAAGAGAGCTAAGAAGGCCTTGAGGGGCTCGCCACCTTCCAGGGCCAGCTCATTCACCGGCTTCATCTCCTCTCAAGGGCTTTCCCTAATGCTCAACATCCCCCCCAACACATTCAGACTGTGTTGAGGAAGGCTATGGAAGGCTCAAACTTCAACACACAGCACATAGAGGGCTATTACTGGCGGAAGGCTTATCGGCCCAGCCAGCTTGAAAAGTAGAGTCATCCTGGATGACCAGAAGGCATTCATTTGGACAAGCCGCATAATGAGAGACCCTTTTAGGAGTCAGGATTATTCATAGGCAACCGATTCCCATACGTAGCCTACAGACAGCAAAGCTGGGGTTGGCAAAGCCTTGTGGAGGCCCCCCTTCATGTCCCTTGCGGAAAGCACTATGCACAACAGCGTTGTGTTGCTGTCCTGATAAGTGTTTTTGCCAGCCATGGCTGTTTGGGAAGAGTGTGGGCTTCCACGGGGGCGTCACTTCACAAGCAAATTGCTTGAGCCATACGCGTGGTGCAGTCATGAGCAGTCAGTTGTCGACAACATTCTTCGAGTCCTGCAGGCCTTGACACGTCTCCAACCCTCAGAACCACCAGATCTGAAGCCTACAGATGGCTGCACAGCTAAAGAAGTTGAACCCTTACGTGCCTTTGCTGACAGCGGGCCTACAGCATTCCCCGCTTGTCTTGCCAAGGTGCCAGTGACAACGCTAGTTGGCATCAAGGTGAACACCTTGACGCTTTGCTTGCTTTGCTTGCAGGCTTTCAAAATGTACTTCAAGGACATGAGGCAGAAGTGTCAAAAGACGCGACTTGACTGAACTCGCTGGCTGATGCATAGCCCCTCATCAGGCCCAAGCCCATGTTGATCTCGCGAAGATGTCCAGCAAGCTGCACAGCCAGTAAGCCTGTTTGAAACTTGCAGGTCCATTCAGAGTCCTTTTGCAAGTGCTCAACTCATCTCTGGAGTTTCTCACGGACTGGTGTTCTGGGTCAAGCAGTGAGCCGGACGTGGTGTATAGGGGACGGGACTTGTCTTAGCGAACTCGCATTTCAAACCTGTTCTGCCCTGTGAAAGCCTTTCAGCTCAGCCAAGCCCGGAGACATGTGAGATCTCAGAACATGTCTCTATAGCCTGAAATCTCCTGGAATGACTCATCCGACAACACTGACCTGCACATCTCAACCGCAACTTAGACTTTGCAAGACTTGTTGTGAGAAACTGCATGCCATACATGCCATCTTCAGCACATATGTGTGCCTTGATTGGGAACTGGCGGCCGCTGAAGGCGGCCCTGCCAAGCTGCCGTTTAAAAAGCTTCCAGAGCTTGAATCTGAGGGACTTGAAAGGAGGCAGGCCGTATTTGTTCGCACGTGTTGAAAGCCACCAGTTTGACTGTTTGACTTTACTCATTGGCCATTGCTGCAAGCGAATTCACATGAAGGACTGCCTTGTCGCAAAACCATTTCGAGTTTCACCCAGGAAAAGGGCTTGGGCAAAAAACATCCAAAACGAGAAGAGACGCCGGACCGGCCGTACATTGCGAAGATGAGCCTCCCGCATCCCATCCATTTCAGCCGGGAAAAGGCCACTGAAAACCTAACCTAAAACAAGACAATCAGTTGCACTTGATGGGCCCTTCCAGAGCCACAGAACATCTTTTAAGATCATCCTCGCTCTTTCGAGAGCATGCCTCTTCCTCAGCGACGTCATGCATATTGGTCAGCTTCACCCCACCCAGCGGCAGACACCCAACCACACTCCTGAAAGCTGTTGATGCAACCACTTCTTTGCCTGCTCTGGGGCGTCATCTTGCGTGGAAAGCAGGGGCAGGCGCGCAGCAGCCTTGCGGGCGCTTTGCAAGACGCAGTATGGGTATCTTTGGGCCTGCAGAGGCCACACGTAGGACGGCCCGCAAAAGTAGGACGCAAAAACCTAAACTGCTCAATAATTAGCATAGGAACGAATGGGAAGAACACGGGGCCTGGTCCTGGCAGGAGAGGTCTCAGGAACTGTCAAGCCAGGGTGGTTTAAGTAGGACAGATTAGTGCTGAACTCCTGTCCATGCTTGCGGACACCGTGAACCTCTCATAGTTATGGGAAAAAGACGAAGCTGTAACTGTACCAACGCCAGCGTTGAAAACGGGGAAAACGCCCTGGTGTCAAAAACCATGTACATGCGCCGGGCTGAAAGGGCCCCCACGCTTTGCAACAATCTTGCGTGTCGAACTGGACAAGCTCCGAAAGAAAGGGGGCCCCGAGGACCCATGCCCAGGGGCTACTTGTAAAGCACTCCCTGTAAGAATGAAATTTGAAGCTTTCTGAGCGCTGGACTCTCTGTAACTGAGGCCCCAGTCCAATCCAACCTGAGCTGACGGGTGCTACTACACTTTGACTTAGACACAATGTTTTTTCTTACGCTTTAAGTTAGAGAGTGTCGACGTTGGGGGGGGTTAATGGTTCGCGGCCACTCGCCCCACTAGACACACTTGACCCGGCTGACCCCTTGCCACACTACGAACAGTTTTGTGACTAGTGCTTTTTGCGGATATATGCATACATGCTATGAAAACGAGGGGCACTCGAAATAATGACCTGCGTTGATGTCGCTTCATCGCAGGTAGGGGCATCAGGAAGTTACGTTGTGAATCCAAATGGTGATGCTAGCGTTGCTTGAAAGGCACCTTGTACTGTCATCTCTGCTGTTGGAATTCATGGGCCCTGAATCGTGCCATAACTTGTTCTTTAGCAGCGCGATGAATGTCACACGTGGCAACCTGAGCCAAGTCTGCAGGACGAGGCGCGTCCCAAAAGAAGGCATAAAGTGTGGCTGTTGTTGAAACCTTGGTGCTGGCCCAAGGAAGACTCTCTGGAGCTAAGACGTCAGCAAACTTAAGCCTGGTCAACCCCAAAGATGTACTGCTCGGCAGGACTGCTCGCACTTGTACACGCTCCCAATGTTCTGATGCTCTGATGCCAAAACGCTAGAAGATGAAGCGCGCGCTTCAACCCGGATTCCAAGCAGGGAAGTCCAACGAGCTCTGCAGCCCACACAGGGTGTGACATAGCTATAAAGAGCGACTTCTACTAGGAGTGGGGAACTAATTCGGGCTCAGTGCAGTTCAAAAGGCAAGGCACTTGCAAGCTAACATCGGTTTGTGTGAGGGTTCTGAAAAGTGCGAAGTTTGGCTGACTTGTTCAGCCACCTCCGGCTTATTTGGGGTTGCTGATTTATGCTAGGCTCCGAGGCCTACAGAGTTTCGATGGCGGGCATAGGCCATAGGGATTTTGCTTCAAATAGATCTTACATGAGTTACGGAGCCCTGAAACCGTAGTCCTATTGATTTTGAGTAAAAACTAGGATCCTCTTTTTTTGGGAGAGGTCTAGCACTAATCAGAATCATTATTCAGGAACGCGTCAAACTTCGAGCTGCATTGCAACGCTGATGCAAGCGCGTTAAGATCAAGCGGCAGCAATCAACAGCATCACGTTCTCCGTGCGGGACACAATAACGACCAGAAGGCTGCACAAGTACTTGCCAAGATTCCTGGGCGTGTGGGTGCTCTTTCTCAGATTCTCTCCGCGTCTTGCCACTCAAGCAAAGTTTTCAGAAAGCTGACTGCAAACTTCGGGGCCCTTCGTGAAACTATAATTCGTTTACAGGTCTCAGCATGGCTTCGTCTGCCTCCAGTCACAACTAAGAATTTCCATGCAGCGTGCGCACCAAACGTATCAAATCAGATATAAAAAAAAAGAAGAAAAAAACAATCGGCCCAAGGAAAGATCACGCTCCAAAATCAATATGCCCTTGAGTGAAGCTCCACCATCAAGCCAACCGAAGCCACCCCAAACCTTCGTGAGCAGGCTGAAAAGCATTGCCATATTATTGCCTGGATGGCCAAGCAGCCACAAATGTCTTTGCTCCTCCAAGCTTGGACGAAGATGTGTTGCTTCACCCCTTCTTGCCCGGACGCAGAGATGTGACATGCCTGCTCTTTTTGCTGTTTGCTGTTGCTGTTTGCCCTCAAGTTATTAAGAGCTGTTGGAGTCTGTTGGAGTCAGCGCTCCCGTTGACTTGCATGCTCTGACAGCCTCTATTGCAGTGGCACTTGTTTGGGGGAGGCTCTCAGGCTGGCCAAGGCCACACAAGTCTTTTCAATTCCGGCTGGCACTCCAAAACATGAAGTCCACATAGTCCACACATCTACATCTGCCCATGCCAAAAATTTTCTGTGTGAGCCCAGGACTGTGCCAGCTCACCGTGGCCTAGAGGATCAAGCATGTACGCTCCATGGGTCCGTACATGCAAAATCTTGGATATCCTACGTGTGCACGGATGACACGATCAAACCTAACCTTAACCATCAAGACCTTAAGACCTAGCTACCTAAGCAAGAAATGGTACTTGAAAGATATTACTATGAGGCCATGCGAGCAAAAAATACGTGTCGGCGTCCTTGGTGTCCTTGTAACGCCGACAGCACTGAAGAGCTCGAAACCAAAACGGTAGGGCAGCCAGGAATGGCACAACCCAACCTTCGAAGAAGGGGTGGAATGAATTCCGCGCGTATCTTGTGGCATCTTAACCCCAACCACCCTCTCAATCCCTGGTAAGTCATTTGGCAGAGATGAAGCTGGGTTGAGAACGTCCTTCATGACCCAACATGTTTTTTTTTTGCCAAGTTGGATGGAATCTCGAGAAGCTTGCCCTGAGCCAAGGCACGGTGCGTACCAGCACCTGAGACATGTTGACTTGCAGCAACTTACACAAGAGACAGGCCATTACGTCACTGAAGGAGTGGATCTCGAGTCCATGTGGCTCGCTGTTAACATGTTTCGAAAAAAAACAACTCTTTACGTGATCGTGGCCTACTATGCTGCCGGAGCATGTCCCGTGTCCCTTTGCTCACGGTCTTCAGCAAGGAGCTGAAATCATCAGTGATAACAAGGCCAACACCTGACCTCAGTCTTTTAACCTCATGGATCAAGGCAAAGCTGAACTTTGAGAGCTGAGCTGCTGCAGCTGTCGCCATTCCTCAGCTGTTCTTTAGACTTCTCGGCTGCTTGCCACTGTAGCTCTTTTTTCACGCTTGCTCTGGATTTATGTTCGGGTTGGGGGTCTGTGCAGCTCATGAGCAAAGGGTAGTCAGCTGAAGCCAGGTCTCGCAATGAAGCGCTTGACGATCTCTTCCTCCTGCGGATGGTGCGAGAGCAGGTAGCACACGGCCGCTGGCACGTCCTGCATGGCCAAGATCTAGCAACCGCGCGCCATTGCAATCAACAACCAAAAGCCCTGCACACAAGTTCCGGACAGCTTAGGATGTGCAAAACTCAACAAACTTCCAAGGTCGAAACTCCAAATCTACACTAGCAAGCACTCTTCTCAAATGCCATGAACAGTAGATCACAAGACAGATGTTCCTCAAGATGCTGCAAGATAAGCCGACTCTTGTCCCGTGCCTCGATTGGCTTTGCAATGCTGGTCCTGATTGCTAGAGATCTCTTGGGAGCAGATAGAGAATACAGAGCCCACATTCAACTCTGGGGAACATGGGCGCAAGGGATTCAGCGCACCATCACGTCTGGCTTAACGACCCCCACCTTCATAGGCCATGCCTGGCCTGGTTATCCAGGAGAGTAGGTAGGTATCTGAAAGCAAGCAGTTTGCAGCAAGAGGCCATTGATTGAGAAAAATAGGACAATGTTCTTAGCCTGCGCTCTCTTGCTTCCGGTGATCTGGAGAACATGCCTCAGTTAGGCAGCTGCCTGCTAGCAAGTAGCAACACGTCACCGACCATGTTGTCTGCAAAGTCGACCGAATACACCGGAGCTAAGGCGGTGCGCTTGACCTCTGGGTCCATGGCCAGCAAAGACGGCTAAGACAGTGCTAAGACTCTGGACTGGAGCTCAGAGGTGGCCCATCAAGATCTTATCTCTAGCTTTGGCATACCAGTCCAGTTTCCAACTGTTGTGGAATCGATTAGGTTAGTATGCACATGGACAGTTCTAGGATCGACATGCAAGCCCGGCGGACGAAGTCGGGACTGCAAAGACATACGAATGGTGGAGAAAACCGTATCCCTTTCGATTAGGTTCATCTAGCTGCCCAAAGGATATCAGGAAGCTGCTTGCGGACCCATAGTTCAACGGCAAACCCTCTGCTTGAATTAGATGCATGGTGAGTCCATTTACACAGAAGCATCTACACACAATAATGCTGCATGCGCAGGCGTGGCAGGTGATGCTGAGTTCGAAAAGCCTGGCAGCATCTGCCGCCACGCATCTGTACAGAAGGCTTCAGTTGTTTCTGCGATGTTGGCTTTCTTCGGTTTCGTTGCTTATTGTCGTCCGAGCTTCGGATTGGAGTACGGACAGCTTGTACCTCAGAACTGAACGCGGGAGCTACACGACTCCGGTTAACAATGTGCAAGACTGTCAGCTAGCATCATGGAGCAAGGCCACACAGTCACACCCTTCCACTGCCCAACGTGCACGTCATGCTTGGAGGCAGCAGTACCTGTCCTAACCAAAGCCTACTCGAAGGCGACTGCTGCTGCAAACATGGACACTGAGTTGGGATCAGCCCTGGTCAACGAAGGTAAGGCTGTAGCGTATCGCTCAGCTTGAAGTCTGGAGGTTGAACCGCAAGGAACACAAGCACGAGCATGCAAAACGATCCGGCACACCCCGCTCTCACTGCAGTTCGCTTACCCGAACTCCGGAGAAGCAGTTCAACCAGTACAGCAGCAGAGCCCCGCATAGGAATGGAGTTCAAAGTAATCACTGAGGCAAAGCCATGCCACCGATTTCTGCAAATGGTCGATGGCGCCAGCGTTCCGAGGACAGTCAATAGCAAAAGCACCACCGGATAGAAGACCTTGGCTGAAACTTGTAGCATTGTAGCATTCAGCGCACGGCACAATGCGGCCAAGCTAGACATACGCCGGGTATGGTGGGCACTTACGAATTTCAGTGTGGTAGTTGCCTCCCAACCCAAGGCCAAATGAAACATTGTTTGAAACAGCGCAACACACCCCATCTCAACTGCTGTCAGTGAAGCCGTCAGTGATGTCCCTGTTTGTCTTATTACCAAGGTAAAGCTGCAAAACAACTTCCTTCCCCTTGGAGACGCGATGCTAAGCGTGCTGCAAAGCAACAAAATGGAAGGATGACCGCTTGTTGAATCCATCGCTGGCCCAAACGGTTGGCAAAACCTTCCACTTGTAGTCCACCACATACATTCCTGACCCGGATCAGTTCAAAAAACAGTTATGATCAGCGTGCTCACTACGGTCCACCAACCTGGTGCGCCGTGGGAATTGGCTTTTTGACGCTTTGGTTTGGGTCTCTGTGACTACCTTGCAGGGAGAACTAGCGCAAACAAGTCCATAAGCGCGAAACCTCTGTTTTTACCAAAGCTGTACAAAGTTCTAAGATCAAGGCTGACGAGTAAGTCTCACTGGAATCAGCCAGCATGCCTGCATCTCACAGAAGCAAAGACCAAACCTTGTCCCTGCGAGCCGTCCCTTTTACTTTGCCTTTCCGAGCATCCGAAAATCAGAATCCAAATGGTGGTCAAGGTTGCAGCTCGGGCAAAGAAGAACTCGGGGGTAACACGGCAGCGGGGATCCACGTTCAGTATGAACAGATGGTTCACATCCCACCTCAGTAGAGATTGAAGCATGCTTGGACACCTGCCAGAAAATCTACAAGATCCACGCAGATAACGAATGTCAGTCTGTGGCACAAGAGCTCCGACCCTAAAAGAGGAACACGTGGCTCCTGAATTCCAGAATTTCTCAGACTACCACTTTACAAACAAAGCATTGCCTGCATGCCGAAGCGCTGATCGCCTATTAGGCTACATGCTGTCAACAAGACTGCTTGATCACATGCGCTCGTCTGTTCAAAGAAACTTTTGACTGCTAGAGGAGCTCAGAACGGTCTTGCAACGCAGCGTACTAGAAAAAACAAAAACTGCTTGACAGGCTCCTTCGTTGCCGCAAAAGGAGAAACTAACAGGCATCTCAGGGCCTCACCAAGGCCGCTCTCTCCCGCTCCGCCTGAATCCAATGGCCTTCAGATGCAGCAGGGCGCTTATTTGCACCCTTTTTTCCTAGCCGGCGCATCTCCAG